AGAGAGAGAGAGAGAGAGAGAGAGAGAGAGAGAGAGAGAGAGAGAGAGAGAGAGAGAGAGTCGGCAGTTGGATTCTGCCCTGTTCCGCAAGATGAGAAAACGTGACTCGTGAGGGGAAAAAAAAAAGAAAAAAAGAAAACGTGAGACTCAACCATTAGCTGCTCCAAAATTGCATTTGTGGAAAGAATAAATGATACCATAGCTGGTGGGGCGGAATGATGCGCACGCGCCGCTGGGGTAGCGCGCTGAGGCGACCGGCACAGCAGACCGGTGGCAACAGAGTCGCGCGTCGAACGTCAACGCGTGGACGAGCGTCAAGCGTCAACGAGTGGACACGCGTCAACGTGTGGACGAGCGTCAAGTGTCAACACGTGGACACACGTCAATGAGCGTCGACGCGTGGACGCGTGTCAACGCGCGGACGACACGGAAGTCACGTAGGCAGTGTGCAGACATCAACGCGCGGACACATCATCAGTAACATAGGCAGTGTGCAGACATCAAGCCCGACACGTCAGCCCTTCGAGGGTTGGCTGGTCGAAGGGAGAGGCGAGCCACACCATAGACGATCAAGGACAACGAACGAAAAGCGAGGAGCAAGTCGGAGAAGGGTGAGGGGCAACAAAAGTAACGTAGGCAGTGTGCAAACATTAAGCCTGACACGTCAGCACGAGCCCTTCGAGGGTAGGCAATGTTGGCTGGTCGAAGGGAGAGGTGAGCCACGCCATAGATGATCATGGACAGCGAACGGAAAGTGAGGGGTAAGCCGGAGACGGGCGAGGGGGGGGTAGGCTCCATGATACGCGAAGGGGGCAAGTTGGCTTCAAGAGGGGAGGAGCGTCCCACGTCATCTAGAGGGACGGAGTGCGATAGTGAATAGAAGAACGTAACAAGCGCATTCACGAGTCACAAGGCTACGGTTATCACGAAGCATTCGCACTGTATAAGGACTACGGATTTTGCGAGTAATAGGTAAGACGGGCTATAGATATCGAAACCTACGGAGTACCTACGAGCACTTTCCAGAAAAGGGTGGAGAGGAAGTAAGGTAAGCAAGGGAGGAGAAGGGGTGACTCGGATCTAACAAGGAGAAGCGGAGAACAAGGGAGATTAGAGGGAGGGAGGGGTTGAAGAGGTGGAGAGGGGGAGTCGGGCGGCAAAAGTCAACTCGGCTCTAATAAGGAGACGCGAAGAACAAGGAAGACTAGAGGGAGGGAGGGGTTAAAGAGGTGGAGCGGGGGAGTCGGGCGGCCATAGGTCAGAGCACATCAGTGTTGGATTAAAGAAAAAAAAAAAAAAAAAAAAAAGGGGGGGAGGACCCTGTCTCTTATACACATCTAGATGTGTATAAG